CAAATTGACTCGAATTTTTCAACAATTGATATACTAGTGATAATCGTGATTATGATTGACGGATAAATTGAATATTACTATAACTCAAAAAAAAAAAAAAAAAAAATTTGTCGGTGTACATACACTTGTGACCATGTCATGTCATCGCATAAAATATGCAACTTGTTAGAAATGTGTTTTAGTTGCCATAACTTCTTTTTAAGTATTCAAAGTAACCCTCATAGGTAGTCTGAGTGTTTCTGCCAAATTCAACCAATTAACTTCAGTAAAAGGAAAATCTTTCTGCCAAATTCAACCAATTAATGAAAGGAAAATCTTTACTAGTGAACAAAATGCTTATGCTATGATATTCATGCATGTATAAATATATGACCCACATATTACTTCATCCATGACAAAGAGATACCATGTGATAGAAAAAACTTAGTAATGTACAAATTGCTTATGCATATGTGACCCACATGGCATCAATAGATCTGGTAGATAAAGTGCATTTTGTCTGGACATGGAGGCAGAAAACTGTATTCAAAAACATCAATCATCTAACTTGTTGATTTGAACTATCATTGGGTGGGACAACACTAACTTAATCCAATTAGTTGTGAAGTAAAAGTGATGACCATTGTCGATAACAAAATCAAAATTTTAATCGTGGTTATAAAAAATGAGATGCCAAGTTTCTGAAAACCTGAACAATAGAGTTTGGTCTGACAACAGGACCACCAGTAGACCCGTTTTCCAATTAGAAACAACTCTTTTTGAATCAAAACGAGCTCATCAAAAATGTCAAATTAGTTCTTTCCTTAAACATTGGAGATTAGATGTCATGTATGCTAAAATCGCATTTAATCAAACTTTTTCAGAACACTGGGAAAGAATAGAAAATGTAAAGGGTGGTCAGGAACATGAAGATCATTGGTAAATCTCCCCATGGGACCAGGGTCGATGAGATCTTTTCAACTATTCTTAGGCTCATAATGCATTGCTAATCAAGATATGGCCACCACACCAAGGGTGAAGGGAGAATCTGGGGGACCCTCTAATGGACCAATATAAATGTTGCCGACCTATATATATATATATATATACATATGTATATATGTAGACACACAGTCACACACATATAAACGTGGTCAAATCGTGTGATGCTTATTGGGACCTGGGTATGGGTATGGGTATGGGTATGGGTATGGGTATGGGTCACAGTGACCGACGACAACAGCGGAAAGTGGGGCGGTGGAGTGCTGGCCTTGTGTTATGGAGCAGGGTGAGGTCCTCAGATTTGCGGCGTCTGTATAGTCTCACACACATTTTCTTCCCCAATTTTTAAATGTCCCTTCTCAGTATGTGCACGTGTTCAAGCTTTTTTAATGCCTAGTTTTCAAATGATCATTAATTTGAAAGAAAAGAAATATTCGTACCTTTTCTGATTCCCAAATCCAAATCATTTGAAATCTGACCTTTTTTTTTTTTTTTTTTTTTTTTTTTTTTGGGCTTTTGTCCAGAGTTTTCCTATTCAAATTTGGACAACCTATCAGAATTTCAGTGAATATTCACAAAATCCTACCAAATTTGACACCATGCAGAGCATATTTAAAAAAAAAATTTACTATCAATTGAAATAAATAAACCCATTAAAAATGAACGTAAGAATCAGTATATGATGATCAAGCTCTATGAAGGAGCAAGTTGACAGACAATTGTCAGATAGACAGATAAGATGAGCTGGAGCTATGACAAATGAAGATGTGAGTGAAAACAATCAACATCATTGCACTTGACAATGGCAATTTCATGTACCTCCAAGAGCCCCTCTCTGGACATGGTTTATTGCTTCACAAGTTTGTGTTTTGGATGTCAGTAGAACTTCTTGGACTCTGCACTGCAGTGAGATCATAATCCTGTGAACACAGCAGAACAGGGGAAAAGGAAAAAATGAGACTCCCTCTTTATCTCTTTGTAACTGTAAATGGCTTAGGTAATTAAGTGTAACGACCCACTCCACCATATGATATTATTCGTTTTTGGTCTGAGCCTGTACGGTTTTGCACTTGATTTTTACCCAAGATAACGATATGGGATTGTACACTTATAACTCGCTCAATCAGGCTTGACTAGACCATTAGACGACTTAGTTGATTTTTATCCAAGATAACTTAGTTGCCTAAGGCGTCAAGGCTCCAGCCAATATTTATTTCTTTATTTTACAAGGTTCCAATTTTTATTTTTTTATTTTTTATTTCAATCTATTATTAAACTCCATCCAATAGAAAGGCCCAAAAAAATTTATATTTCATTCTATTATTAGACTCGAGAGAATAAAAATGGCCCCAAAATTTTATATTTTCTTATATTATAATCTCTCTAAAAATTTAATTTTCTTTTTTCCTTACATTTAATTGTTTTGAGAATTGGTGAACCTTTTCATATTCTCTTTAATATTTATCTTTTTTTATTTTTTTGCCCTCTTACTTCTTACATATTTTTCCGTCTCTCTTATTACCAATAATTCATAGAGAAAAATAAAGTAATGAGAATGTAGATAATAGAAGCCAACTCAATCAACCAAAAAATCTTGTAAAATCAATTAATTTTTATAAATAGTTGACCAAGCTATTTCTTTAAATCATTGTATAGGTTCGAACAATTTAAAACATATGATTTATTTTTATAATTAAAAGTTTTAAAAGAACAAAAATACCTATAATGAAAGGAGTTTTTTAAAGTTAAAGGTGATAAAATCATATCTAACCTAACTATGCCACAAGAAAGATTAAATGAATTTGCTATATTGTCTCCTAAAAAAGATACTTTAACAAAACTTGAATATAAGAATCTAATTTGTAACTTTCATCTCAAAAAACAAGAATGTATTTTTTAAATAAATATTATTAAATATTTTTTATATTAATATATTATATATTAAAAGGCCAATTTTATTTTTTTCGTTTAGGATCTCAAATTATATTGAGCCGTCCCTGCGCTCAGTGTGGTAACCCACCATTGCCTCTTGCATCCGCCACAGCACGCCCAACCACACATCGTCACATTAAGAATAGAGGTAGGTTGTTTTGATGAAAACCCAAATGAAAATGGGTTGGTTCAACTGTTGGGTGCTGCAGTTTAGCCCTCAACTGTTTCCAAATATTGCCAAGTTGAAAGTTAAAAGCCCACTAGCCTGAAATTGAAGTAAGTTGGGGCCAACCTAATATATTCACTGCAGATAGGCAGCAAGTTCTAGTGAAGATGTTTATGTTTCTGCCTCCTCGGGTTTTACCTTCACTCAGAAGCATATGCTTCATTTTAAAAATTATTTAAGAAAATTGACACTAAGATAATGTTTCAAAAATGCTAATTCGGGGTTAATTCAAGATAATTAAATAATTCAAACACATGCAAAGTAGTTTGGGTTGGGGGGAGAGTTCATCTGAGAACAAGGCATAGACTTTTGTTCAATACAGTCATAACCAACTTTCCTTAAAAAAAAAAAAAAAAAAAAAAAAAAAAAAAAAAAAATACGACCTCCAATTGAACAGCTTAAAAAGAAAATATTTCTCCTACCTATTGCAGGAAGGGTGTCATTTATTGGAATTCCAGACCCGCAACTCGGAACTTGTGCTGTCATGCCACAACCAAAAAAAAAAAAAAAAAATTCAAGTCACAGTACTCCAACTTTCAGAATGAGAAGTAAGAATCGGGGAAGCTGGTATGTTTGAAGTATTATAGCTATAAAAGAAATAAAAAATAAACAAAGAATCAAGATAGACAAATTCTGAACTAAGCCTACAAAACATAACGAGGAACTACTTATAGAAATCAAGCTATAAAATAGACTGCAGCCGTCAATTTAGGAAAGTCCAGTATCTGACAGTATCAGGAAAGAAAATCTGCATCAACATCCATAGTGTCTATTACTTCTGCCAGACTGATTTTGAACCATTTTTCAAGTGATTTTCTATCCATAAGTTCTCTATTAGAAGCCTAATATTTGTTCAAAATGTGCACCTTTGGTTCAACACAACCATGAACTTTGGCTAGCATTTGGGCAACTATAATGGCATACATGAGTGCAACATGAAAGCTGAACTATCTTTATAGGAGTATGGGTATTAGTCTGCCACAATTCTATCTCAGATACTGTGTTGCATGGACTCTCTTATTCCCCTTAACAAACTCTTGTCCACTCCGCATGACATGGGTATGGGATATGTGTCCAACAAATGTACCCATACTGCATACCTGGATCCTCTAATTTTACTTAATTGAAGAAGAAGAAAAGCTCCAATTTGATAGCAAACAAAGGTTTCCTAATTCTGGGATAGATGGAATCCCATTTTATTCACCATATTATATTTAATTTTTGTTCACTGTATTCTATTTAATTTAAATTATTATTGAGTACATATTTAAAGAACAATAGCATCATATGTTGCACCTTTTTTATAAAACAAATTATGTTTTTAAGTGTGCAAGACGTGTCCACCTGCCTATATCTAATTTTTGGACACATTTAATAAAAAATTTTAAAAAATATATAAAAATAAATTTAGCAATAACTGATACTACAATAGACCGTACACCATGGCTGAATTATATAGAATTGTGAACATTGGACATATTTTTAGTGGCAACCACTGTGTATAAACATGAACATGCAACTGATGGTCTATGCCAATTTCAGTTAGCAAACTAAAGCGTTATTTTTCTATATTCAACCCAACCAAATGCGAAATTCCTTAGGTATCACGAGGGGTACAGGTCAGGCAGAAGATATGTAAGATCACTACACATGGAAGATGACCTATTTATGGGGTTTAAATCAGACCACAATATAACAAAACTGCATAAACACCCAGGAAAGTTGAATCTGGGTAGACAGCTTGATATTATCATTTTGAAAACATTCCATAATCAAAGGCGCATATAACAGATAAGAAGAAAACAATAAAAGATACTGTGATAGTGAGAATAAAGTTTACCAAGATACAGACACAAGCACAAAAGAAATTTTGGCTGCATGAACATTTAAAAAATCAATATCAACACAAATCAATGGTCGTTACCATTAGCTGATATAGCATTGTTATTTATATCTGATCAGGTACACCACCAGATGAATTATCACAGAAAAACCTAATGTGTAATCCATTTACCAGTCGATGTTTCTAGGATCAGCGTGGATATGAAGTTAAGAGCTTGCTTAATGAGTGATATGTAGAAATTTCTAAATCAAACAGACATACAAATTCAGAACAGTTAAGAATGAAGGGAATTATTGTCAGAAGGAATAGCTACCTTGGACCATAGGTTAAAGCTTAAAGCATAGAGTATGACTCTCACTCCGCTTGATCAACCATCTGAAGAGCTTAGCATGTGATTAGTTGCAAACATTTCTTGATCTTTGTATCCAATGTCTGTGCCCTATGGTTTGCATCTTTCTTCCCATATTCCGCAAGAAGACTAAATATAAGCAGCTGAGTGATAGTTGTATCCTCCATTCAGTTGTTTCCCTATTCAACTAGCACGTGTTACAAATAATAAGCAAAACCAAATAGCAAGAATTTATCAGTTACCTAATAGAATCTAAAGCCATTCCTTACCATGGAATTTCGAAAGAGTGGGAACACTGATGCTTCTTGTGCGCTTTCAGGTAAGAAAGCTCTTGTTGCTCCCATTCACCTTATCTAAATTCTAACTGCTGTATTTGTTAAGATACCAATTAATTAACCCAAGCCCAGTACATATTTCAATCCTGCACATGTTACCGCATTAAGGTAGTCCTTGCAAAATTAGTGAAGATGGATCATCCTCATTTCTCTACAATTATCTAAATCCACTCTCTGCATCCAGTCACTGGGGACTCCAAATAATTCAAATATTGGCAATCCTCTTCTTATCATCTTATATGAAAAAAGTTCTTGCTGCTTCCGATCATATAGCCTTATTGCTGCTTATATCTTCTTGAGATGTATGTTTCTTCAGTTCAGCAGATATCCATCTCCAGCAGACTTTTCATCACCAAAGATCCTTGCAGGAGCACTGCCCTCCAACAAAATGATGGAATCTGCTTGAGTCTCTCAGTATGACAGGTCGTCCAATAAGCTTAGATACAAACTTCATAAACACGTGGCAATCGCCACAAACTCGGATGTTTTTTATTATCCTTAAAGGTGCCTCTCCTTGAGGTTTTCTGATCAACCCAAATGCAAGAGCAAGTTTCTCGCTATGGTAACAGATGGATTCAAACTTCTCATCTTCCCCCACATCATGTAGAACCAAGTTTGTATCAGGAGAGAATCCAGATTCCTGAAGTTTTCTTATCAGTCTATTCAATTCCTGATATATTTTTTCTGATTCTGGATGAGTTCGGTCTCCTGATACAAAATTATAGATCTTTCCGTCAATCTCAATCCAGCTGTAGGCAGCAAATTTTTTAACCTTCCTGTCCTTCATAAGAGATCTCATGGATGCCACGTCCTTCCATCTTCCGCAAGCAGCATACATATTGGAGAGCATGATGTAAGGTCCAGCATTGAGTGGGTCTAATTTGAAGAGGCGCCTGGCCGCCATTTCTCCGTGTTTTACGTCACCATTTGTTGAACAAACTGATAAAAGGGTAGACCAAATTAGACTATTTGCTTCATGTGGCATGCCATTTATTAGATCTACTGCTTTATCCATGTAACCTGAACGACCGAGGAGATTGATCATGCATGCATAATGATCCAAAGTAGGGGTCATTTCATGAAATTTGCTGATTGAATTAAAATATTCCCGTCCTCGTTCACTCAAACCTGCATGAACACAAGCTGAAAGAACACCCACAAAGGTAATATTATCTGGTTTGAGTTTCTCTTGCAACATTTCTTCATAAAGGGCCAAGGCATCTAGATCCTTTCCGTTTTGTGCATAACCTATTATCATGGAATTCCAAGAGACCACATTTTTTGTAGGCATCATTTTGAAAACAACCCAAGCATCTTTTATTTCTCCACATTTGGAATACATATCAATAAGGGCACTAGAAACAAGCAAATCAAAATCAACTCCCAAATGCACTGCTTTTCCATGAACTACCTGACCATGATACAAAGAGGCTAATCTGGCACAGGAATTAACCACAGTTGAGATTGTAAAATTGTCAGGTCTAACATTTTCTAAAAGCATCTCGCTGAACAACATTAAAGCATCCTCTTCTTTTCCATTTTGTGTGTAACCTACAATCATTGTAGTCCAACAAACCTTGTCTTTTTCCTTGATCTCACTAAAAGTCTCGTGTGCTTCATCTATATATCCCCTTTGAAAGAATGCACCAAGAACATTTGAAACTGTAATCGCATCTGGCTTTAAACCAGATAATCGCATTTCATGAAACAAGCCAATGCATTTCTCAGGCTGCCCATTGATCAAATAACCTGAAATCATAGAATTCCAAGAGACCACATTCTTGTTAACCATCCGATTAAACAACCACCGAGCCTGATCAATCACACCACACTTCACATACATATCAATCAAAGCATTCCAGACAAAAACATTCCCATCCAAATTACAAGAAACAATCCTACCATGAATTTGTTTCCCGCGCTTCAAATCCAACGTGCGTGAACATGCATTCAACGCGCTCACATGGGTATACTCCGTGGGCTGAAATCCTTCTTGTTGCATTCTGATAAAAACCTCCAAAGCCTTGCTGGAACACCCTTTTGAAGCCAGACCAGCAATCACCGTGTTATAAGAGACAGAATCGCGACAAGGCACCCCATCAAAGAATGCCCACAAATCCTGAACAGAACCCAACCTCGAATACACAGACAGCATAGCATTATAGGAAAATATATCTCTTTGGGACATTTTCTCGAACAGGTTCTGAGCGTCCGAGAGTCGCCCGGATTTGGAATAGAGTTGAAGAAGACGATTGTGAAGGAAGGTGTTGTTGGGTTGATACAAGTGAAGATCCATGTGAGACTGCAGTCTCTTCGCTTGATTGAAGTCATTGTGTCGAACGCATTCGAGCACGAGGCGAGTGTATGCTTCAGAGCTTGCACAGCCACGAGAGTAGAGCGAGTCTATGGCTTCTCGAAGCTTCTGTTTGGCTTTCATTTTCTTTTATTTCTAATTTGAATTCTAGTTTTTCTGTTATTCTTTGGCGCTTTTAAGTCGAATGGTACATGAGAAAGAGTCGCCCTATTGTAAATTTTTCTATTTTCTTGTGCTGGGTTTGGCTAGGTAAATTGGAAGGGTAAATAGCCATTATTTTCTGTGAATGAGATTGACATTATTATGACTATAATGTGAGCTTTTTTATCCGAATAAATAGAAAAGAAAAATAATAACATAAATGGTTAATTTATAACAAATCATCAACAATGAATGCCATATAACTCTGTTTGTTCTATATATATATATATTTGGTTTTAGGTAAAATATTTTTTATTTTTATTTTTTTGGTATTTGACAAAGATTTAGGTTGAGGTTGAGGTTGAGGTGGAGTCTATCAGGCGGGGCATGTAAAATAACTTGTAAATTATTTTTTGTTAAATTTTAATATTTTTTTTCTTCAAATATTTTTTTATTAAATTTTAATATATATATATATTTACAAATATTTTACTACAACCAAACACCAAAAAGTAAAAATATATTTTCTAAAAAATATTTTAAATCCAAACAAACCTTATTATAAAAGATTCTCATTCAGAATTTGATTAGTTTACCTCCCATCGCTTGATTGTAAAAGAAAAAAAGGATCATGTCAGAATGATTCATTCCAGCCAATTACATGAAGAAAAATTTATTCCCTCTCGTCTCCTTTTCCCTGCTTTCTGCCATAAACTTTTATAGCTAACTGTTGCACTTGAAGCTTTTCATGAGTCAATTGCATCACCCCAAGCCATAAAGTTTGGGCATGCCTTGCGCCTAATCATGGTATACCCTATGGGTAGGGATGACAACGCTGTCATTGTATGGAGAAATTTTTGGATGGTTCGAAATTTTTGATCTTGATCTATTATTATTAAATTCGTAAGTAAAAAAATTTTTTTAAAAAAATTACAAGACACAATTGTATACGTGTGCAATGGTGAATGGCCCAGGAGGTTCCGGAACCATGTAATAACCTTTTCAATTTTTTTTTTTTTCTTTTTTTGTTGTCGCAAAAATTACTTGGCGATTAGAAGTGGGTGATAATTCTTTATTTGTGAGGATTTTTAAACATAAATATTTTCCTCGTATGGATTTCCTTGACTCCACCTGTCCTTCTCGATCCAGTTGGGTTTGGCGAAGTATTGTGTCGACCAAGGAGCTTATTACCAAGGGTTTAAGTTAGCGTATAGGGAATGGGGAAAATGTCAATGTTTGGAGTCATAATTGGCTTCCTAATCCTTTTAATCCTCGCGTTACTATCCCCAGTTATCGTAGTGGTGTCTCGCAAGTTTCTGATTTGATTATCTCATCCAACAAGACTCGGAATCAGCCTTTGATTAGAATTATTTTTAACCATCGCTATGCCGATTTAATTTTTTAGATTCTTATTTCAGAATGCATGGATAGTGACCAAAAAGTTGTTGGTAAAATATATGCTTAATGTGACTTTTAAGATATAACAACCTTTATACTAATATGTCATGAGATAATTAACAATATGCTAATAAATCATTAATTAAATATGCAACTCTATATTTAATTAAATATACAAAATAAAGCAATAAAATAATAATAATATGCAAGGAATGAACCTGGACCGAGGCTAGTATTGGATACTATGTCCTTAAGACAGATTCGCCCCGCTATGGTGCTAACGGAATCAGTGGCGTCTATCTCCCAGGATACAACGGTCTACATCCACCAGTAGCAGCACTACAAACTCGTGGATACGGCGAACCTCCTCCGTGTAATACTCTCTCTGACTAAAAAATGCATCTATATACTATATAAATGCTGAATTGGGTGTAATCCGAACCAAATGGTTCGGACCAATCTTAATATAGCTCGATGAAATTGGATTAGGATCGAAGTGGCTCGAACCACTTAACCTAAGGTTTGAACCCACTTGAGTTGGGTTCTAGTCTAGAGAGGGAGATAGAAGAAAATGAAAATGAATGACTTGCAAATGATCTAAAGGGGGGTATTTATAGAAATAGAAATGTCTTTTCGGATGGGGTGCGTCTTTTCATCATTGGACACAACCATTGCAATAGGTTGCAATGGTTCACATGGTGTCTATTCACCATTAGACACATCCATTCCAATAGGTTGCAATGGTTCACATGGTGTCTGTTCACCAATAGACACATCCATTCCAATAAGTTGCAATGGTTCACATGGTGTCTGTTCACCAATAGACACATCCATTCCAATAAGTTGCAATGGTTCACATGGTGTCTGTTCACCAATAGACACATCCATTCCAATAGGTTACAATGTGCCTTTTCGAGTGGGTGCAACTATGGGTTATGATGGTTCGGAAAAAGGTGTAACCCTTTGGAAAAAACTAAAAGTGGTTTTTTAATTTAAAAGGTGTAACCCTTTAGAAAAAACTAAAATATGGTTTTTTAATTTAAAAGGTGTAACCTTTTAGAAAAACTAAAAAGTAGTTTTTTTTAATTCAAAAAACCAACCACCCAAAAACCCTACTCATTTGTGAAACCCATTTAAATAAGCCCAGCCCAAAATTAGGCCCAATCCAAAATTCCAAAAAAAGAATAATCTGGACTTTACAATTAGGCCCAAGCCCAAGCCCAAATCCTAAACTCAGCTTATTTAAATTTCAATTTGTTTCAACATTTTTTCCATGTGGGACAAACACTTCCCACATTTTGCATACCCATTTAGGCTTATCAAAACACCACACTTTGGAGCTAATTTCTCATTCATCCGGAAACGGATTTCAGAAAGTAAATATACCACATTCATCTCCTTACGGAGAGAAACGCGCTTGTCTAGAGATCCGTAAAAAATTATTAACGGAATCTATTTCAAATCTTATCCAAAGTTTATGTTTTTAATGCCCCCGTTTCCAACAAAAGTTTGGGGTGCTTCCCATACTGGAAAATTCACAATGCGAAGTGCTTACAGATTGGCAATGCGAACGCATCACAGCCCTCCATTAACTTCCGAGAAGACTTCTGTTAGCTGTGATCAAGAGTTCCCTACTCTATGGAAGACTATTTGGAAGCTTAAAGTCCCAAGGAAGATTCAACTGTTCATATAGTAGTGTTGCCATGAAAGGTTGTCGGTTCTTAGTAATTAAAAGGTGCGGGTTATGGTTACCAACGATTGGTGCCCATTATGCGGTAGTCGAGCAGAATCGGTTTCTCATCTGCTGTGCTTTTGTCCCACTGCTAAATTTGTATGGAAAACATGTCCATTGTAGGTTGATTTCGGGTGTGATAGGCACCTTATAATGCAGCAGGTTTGGATTTTCCTCCACGATTTGTGGGTCGGCTTAGCGAATGTTGCTGACCACTTCTCTTTGGGATCCTTTATTTGTTGGCAGTTGTGAAAGTGTAGGAATGATTGGTATTACAGCAGGAAGACATGGCACCCTTCTGCAATTTTGGACAGAGTTATGATACAGTACTATGAATTTCAGGGCTTGGTGATACAGGAAACTTCTATCCAATTAACTAATCTTGCTATTCAACTGGTTCTTGGGCATTGGAAAACTCCAGCTAGGGGTGTTTTGAAGCTTAATGTGGATGCATCTTTTTGCCCAATGTCTAAAGTATATGGGGGTGGTATGGTGTTATGAGATTATGGTAGGAGAGCTTTAAAAGTTGCTACGGTTTGTTTCCACAACATTGGTAATGCTGAAGCTGCGGAGGCCATTATTCTTAAGGAAGGTTTGCTACACTGATTTAGTTGAGATTGAAGGAGACTGTTAACAAATAATGTCTCTAAATCCCACTAATGGTTTGTTGGCTCCTGTATGTAATGATATTCAGTTCTTAGTGCAACAATTCCCTCAGTGCTTTTTGTTTTGGTGTCCTAGAGAATGTAACGAGGTAATCCATGGTTTAAGCAAATGGGTTGCTCAATGTAGGAAAGGGAATTTTGATTGGGATGTTTGGCCCCTTTAGTTGTTAAACGTCCTCAAGGAGGATTGTAATGTTGTTTGATTTTATATAATTTGTTTTTTTTATTTTATTTTATTTTTTTTTGATAATAAAAGCAGGTAATTATATAATTATAATTTGTCTGTTTGCCCCAAAAAAAAAAAAAAAAAAAGAATCAAGCACTTCGAACCACGTAAACAATGCCACCAAACAGCTAGCCAGAAAGAGACCAATAATATATACCACATGGGTGGCACAATTTTTTAATGCAATGGTACAAACATAACCAGATGAGAAAGCACTTTTTTGAAGTGCGAATTGAAAAAAGAAAAAAAAAAAAAAAAGAAGAAGAAGAAGAATTGTTTAATGCCCATCTATGATTAGCCTGCTTTGCAGGCCGCAATTGATTTGGCTTTGCTTAAATGGCCTCTTCTCCTAGCTTTGACTCTTCATAATATGTTCCTACCACTTCATGCTACCTTGGATAGGAAGAAAGGAAGATAGGTGAAAGAAAAACATAAAGGAATGAATAATTTTTTTTTGTTCGGTAGATATAATATAAGGAAAGAAATGATAATAGGAAAGATAAGTCATTCTTCTGTTTTCACAAATGTTCATCCGTCCAAAGAAATGATAAGAGAGAAGACAAATAAGCCTATTATATAAGTTTTAAATTATTACACCACCCTTTAGAAATATTTAATAAATTTCATAAATAAAGTAGTGATGGGTTTAATGGTAAAAATAACTTAAAAAATAGGTTTTATCCTACATATCAAATTAAATTGTCAACTTTTTCTATTCTCTTCCATCTAATTGAATAAAAATATGAAAGTACAAAGAATTTTCCCTGTAGAGAGAGAAACTTTTCAACCTCTTTTCCCTCTCAATTCCCTCTATTTATAAACGTTTACAACCACTTAGACGGTTATAACCACTCCTGTGCTGGACCTATCTTTTTCTTTTTGTTTGGGCTCAACTTCTTTCATTATAATATGGGTTTTCGTAATGACTTCTTGGATCTGGGCCCATTCAGCGTAGACTTGCTCCATCCTGGCTATCCATACCAAACCCATTCTTAACAATACGAATCATACTAAGCCCGGATCATTTTTGGTGTCTTCAAAATAGAAAAATACTTTTAATCTTTTCCCTAAGAATGTTTTAGTCATCCCTTATTCTCTCCATTCCATTTAATTTTTTTTTCTTCCTACCAAACCGAGCATAAGACACACAAATACAAGATGCCCAAACTTTATTTTCATTTATTCCACATCGACTACAAGTTTTTTTTAATGTTAGAAAGTTTCTGTCATTAAATTTTGATGGAAAGGAAAGGCCAGACAGTTGGTCCTTCCTTTTCCAACCCACCCACCCGCCCATAAATTTAAATATACTGTCCCAACGTTACAAGTCACAACAGTTAAAATGTGAACTTATTAATGTTTAAGAATTTTCTTTTACATTTATTTGGTTGCGTTCTTTACCATATATTTAACACCAAGATAGGTTAAATTGAGGTTGAAATTAATACCATGGCGGATCTTGGGCACAATTTTCTCTCTCTCTGTGTTCAAAGATTCTGCCCGATTTCACAATTTGTTTTGAAATTAATACTCTAGTGGATGTTGGTAAGTATCACTGTATTATGGTCAAACACTCATGACCATAATATAGTGATACTTTCTTTAAGTAATTGAATGCTTCGGTAATCAGTATATAAACTTAGGATAGGGATGGTTGTTTTGTTTTTTTTTTTGTTTTTTTGTGCCTGTTGTGTTCCTTGTAATTTGTATGGTACACGCACCTTAGTGTACGTTGGCGGTACTTCCTCTTTTTCCAAGATAAGTTTGGTTGGATGGTGAAGGTAAGAAAAAAATATTAAAGTAATGAAAGGAAATAAAATAGCGTGTTTGATATAGAATTTTTTAAAAAAAGAAAAGAATAATTTTGCAATTTTCCAAATATAAGAATAAATTTATTTAAATAGTTTTGTTTCATTTCATTTCTTTCTCCAAATATATTACTAATCTTTTCCTTTGTTTTTCTTTAACAATAAATAGTTAACAATGATTTTTTTTTTTTTTTTTCAATTTTTTTTTTCCTTTTCTCTCCTAACCAACTAATGTTATTTTTCTTTTCTTTTTTTCACTGCACCCAAAAACAAATAAGAGAGTGGCAGCTTGATTTGTTAACTGTTTGCGCGACCATGGCTCCAAACTCGCCTCTTTGACCAGCTGTTGTGTAATTTCCTTTTATTTTTCTTTATTTAGAATCATAATTTGTTAAACTAGTTGTTCATGTATCTCAGAGACTTGTCACAAGAGACGAGCGTCAGTCGCGCCGCTAAAGCTCCTCGAAGATTAATAATTATTGGGGATAAAAAAAAGGCGTCCAATTTGTGCCTAAATCAAATACGAGTATCAAAAAATAATAATAATAATAATAATAATAATTCCAGTATATGACTAATTTTTTTTTTCCTAGCAACAATAACACAGCCAAACAAAAAAAATAAATATGACTAATGAATAGACGAGTATCCCAACTTCTCCTAAGAACGCGTCCAATTTGTGCCTAAATCAAAAACGAGTAGAATCCGACTCCTAATTACTTTTTCAACGTTCTCTCAACTGTTCTGCCAACCTCACTATTTCAATTCCATCTCCATTCTCCACAGTCCGCACCCATCTCTTTCTCTCTCTAAAACACAAATCATACATTCCTTTAAAGTGAAGCAAGAATAAACCCAACCCATTTTACTTTTTATCTCACAGAGAAAAGGCAATACCCAGATAGAGACCACGGCTCACCCCCCACTCGATACCCACACGGAAAGCCTTGAAAGTTTGGGTTTTTATTGTCTATTATATCTACTCTCTCTCTCTAAAGCCCTTCCATTCTTTTTCATGTTTTCAGAGACACAACCACTCTTCTAAGAATCCAAGATGGTAATCAAAAACGGCAATGATATTCCTATTGTGTCCTCCGACGACCTCTCCAACCCATTCGGCCAATTGGGTTTGGACATATCCGACACCGAGCTCCGAGAAACCGCCTACGAGATATTAGTGGGAGCTTGCCGGAGCTCCGGTGGGAGGCCGTTGACTTTCGTTTCGCAGTCCGAGAGGGCCATTGAGAGGTCCACGTCCATGTCGTCTTCGCCCTCGTTGCAGAGGTCGCTGACGTCCACGGCGGCGAGTAAGGTCAAGAAGGCCTTGGGGTTGAAATCGTCAAAGAAGAGCTCCGACTCAGTGAGTCAGGACTCAGAGAGTTTGGGGAAGGCCAAGCGACCCGTGACTATTGGTGAGCTCATGAGGTTTCAGATGAGGGTTTCGGAGCAGACTGATTCCAGGATTAGGCGTGCCCTGTTGAGAATTGCTGCTGGACAGGTACTCAATTATATATACACACACATTAATTTGAACACATATAGATTCAGAGACATAAATTTTAACTTGTGCGTAATGGGTTTGTTATTCATTAACCTCTGCTTGGGTAAATCTGAGTTTTGCTGTTTGGTTGCTGAGAAAATAGAGGTAGAGGAAACAGAAAGTTTCAGCTTTTGATTATGTTAGTTTCTTTAACAGAAAATGTGAAATTTGACTCAACTAAGCTGAATAATTGCGTTAAACTCAAATTATGAGCGAAATTTAATAGTGATAAATTATAGTTCCTGATTGGATTAATTCTTTTTTATATATTTATTTTGTTGCATTCTCTCAGCAACCAAGCTTGCTGATATTGTGGCTCTTTTGGATTATTCTCTTGTTGTCTGTTGTTTCTTGTTTGATTCGTCTCACACACTCGCTCCATGGCATTAATGTAACAGGACTTTGGGGTCCTTTTGGCTTTAGAATCTTATTTCTCCTATTAATTATTGGGATATTTTGTCAATTTTTGGGGATTATTATCTTGAGTTCACCTTATTATTACTTGTACTCATAATTTATAATTGTGTTTCAATTATGTGGACAGAAGTTTGAATTCGGAACCTATTGTTTATGAAACCTTTTCTCAACCTTGCAAAATTGAAGAGCTGCATTTTTTCCGTCCTGTGTGTTTGTGCTTTTGAGTGGAACGGCTTTGCAGTTTTGATCGTGATTAAATCTTAATATTGACTATGCTGCTATATATTAAGCACCACAGTATACATGATCAATGTGGCAGGTCCTATTGTTTGGTTTATTTAAGTGACAAACCACATATTGTATTAGAAAAGCTTGTCATGAATTTGTAGCTGCACTTCCATCTTCGTTTGGATTAATTCCCAGAGTTTTCGTTCTGTTGCTTAATGCTCTGGGATTAATTTATTGTGTGACACGTCTCCGAAAAATTGAAATTATATTTATAGCTATTTTGATGAAGAGTTAACATGTATATGTTTGATGACTAACAATGTTGTACAAATTTCAGTTACTTGATAATTGGCTTATGTTTCTGCACTTGTTCACAGCTTGGAAGGCGCATTGAGTCAATAGTTCTACCACTAGAGCTATTGCAGCAGTTCAAGTCTTCAGATTTTCCAAATCCGCGAGAATATGAAGCATGGAAAAGGAGAAATTTGAAGATTCTCGAAGCTGGACTAATTTTGCATCCTCATCTGCCCTTGGATAAGAGAGACGCTGCTTCACAACAGCTTCGGCAGATTATTTACGGGGCCTTAGAAAGGCCCATAGAGACTGGAAAGCGCAGTGAATCAATGCAAGCTCTTCGCAGCTCTGTGATGTCTCTTGCTTGCAGATCATTTGACGGGTCCATCTCTGGAACATGCCACTGGGCGGACGGAGTTCCTTTGAATCTCCGACTCTATGAAATGCTTCTAGAAGCTTGCTTTGATGCAAGTGTAGAAACATCCGTCATTGAAGAAGTTGATGAGGTTTTAGAGCTCATAAAGAAGACATGGGTAATACTTGGAATAAACCAGATGCTGCATAATCTTTGCTTTTCATGGATATTATTTCACCGTTATGTTGCAACTGACCAAGTTCAGAGTGACCTGCTCTTTGCCGCCAATAATTTGTTATTGGAGGTTGAAAAGGATGCAAAGGCGACAAAGGATCAAGCTTACTCCAATATATTGAGCTCTACATTGAGTTTGATGTTGGATTGGGCAGAAAAAAGACTACTTGCTTACCATGATACGTTTTACGGTGGAAATGTTGATCTAATGCAGAATGTCATATCACTGGGCGTCTCAGCAGCCAAGATATTGGTTGAAGACATCTCTCATGAATACCGTAGAAAGAGGAAAGATGTTGATGTAGCACACAACAGGGTTGAAACTTACATCAGGTCATCTATACGTTCTGCTTATGCTCAGGCAAGTTTTTGTCTTTGAGCTTGATCCCCTTGGGGTGCTTTTGAAAATAAAATGAATTATTATTCGTATCATATGTATAAATATAGGATACTGATCAGTTTAGACAGAGAAGATGAAAGAGAAAAGTGGAAATAGAGAGAAAAATGATAGAATAAAAGATTATCCCTAGAAAGGTTGAGGAGGGTGTGGTTTTATCGGCCAACAACTCTCATTTTTACAAACAGATCCACATTAACTCAAAAGCAGAAGCAAGTAATGTAATAAAATTTTTCCAAGAATGTGTTCCAGAAATGACATTCCAAACACACCCCTTAGAAATAACTAAGAAATATTGAAACACTGATTTTGAGATGAATATATATATTACCAATAAACCTAGACTATTGTAATTGGGTTACCTGCTTTTAACAGCCAAAAAGTCTCGCTTCATTCATTTGCAGGATTAAACTTTCTGTTGTAACTTTAATTTATTGTCCTGACTACTTCCCAATTCCTGAATCTCTGCTGCTGTTTGACTTTTGAATGTTCACATATATCTGTGCCATTATCCAAAATATTACTTGCTTCGAGCAATATAGGTTTTTCCAGTTTTGTTTTCAGATAGACTTGCTACTCGGCTGAGCTTTTCGTCTATTCTGTGTCCTGATTCAAACTCAATTTTTTGTTTGATCTATCTCAACACAGGAAATGGAGAAGGTAAACTCAAGCAAGCGGTTGTCTAAAAATCAACAAAGTCCTCTTCCTGTCCTTTGCATACTTGCTCAAGGCATTTATGAACTGGCTTTTAATGAAAAGGAGATATACAGTCCCATACTGGAGAGATGGCACCCGCTTCCAACAGGTGTAGCTGTAGCCACCCTTCATTCTTGCTATGGGAATGAATTGAAGAAATTTGTTTCGGGTATTAGTGAGTTGACACCTGATGCTGTACAAGTGTTACTTGCTGCTGACAAGTTGGAAAAAGATCTTGTGCAAATTGCAGTTCAAGATTCTGCGGATAGTGAGGATGGTGGGAAGGCAATCATGCAGGAGATGACTCCTTATGAGGCTGAAGGTATAATTGCCAATCTGGTGAAAACATGGATAAGGACAAGAGTGGACAGACTGAAGGAGTGGGTTGATAGAAATCTGCAACAAGAGGTACCCTTTTCTACTCCCTTTTCCATCTTAACTTTGTTCCTTTGGTTGGATACCTCAATGAACATGGATGGGGATTGATTTATCAGTAGAATGGATTCAGGTTGACTGACATCTGGATCCAGCTACTACATCCTACAGATCTGAGTCCATATATGAACAGAGATTAACATATCCGAGACTCCGGAGGATCTGAGTTTATATTGACTGGGCTCTGTATGCATGAATCCACTCATGAATACACTCATACCTTCTTTCTATCATATGGAGAGAATGTGAATGACTTCAAAGCCTTTCAGGCAGTTTCACTGTTATCAGAGAGTTTCACGTTATAATAATTTTCTCCCATACCAAATGCTTCAGGTCAAGCATGAAGAAGTGCGTAAAAGCAAATATCTATATGAAATAATGTACAGTATTAGTATTACACCTGTTGCACATTTTGACTTTTTAAAATCATCTGAATATCAAGTATACAATGACAGAACAACTGTAGTAATCCTGACTTCTTTTTTTTCTCCCTTTGACAATGACATATCTAGTTATTGTTTGGTTCTAGTTGGTAATTTTTTAGGAGAATATTTGTTCTGTCTTCCAGAGGTGCTAAGATCGTAAGATGCAAGCTTTATGTCTGGTAATAGTTTTGGATAGTACTGCAAGCTGGCTGGCTGCCTGAGCTTGAACATTGTCCTCGGCTAATTCTAACCATTACCACATTTATTCTGGAAAAAGAGGGAGAAAATTATCTTTCTTCCAACCTAAATGGGCAAGCTTTGTTAATTACTCGCAACTATTTTCCATTCAGAAGTGTGAAGATAGTATGCCAAAATTATGAAAACTAAAGCCTGCAATATTTTTCCACTCACACTGCTTGTGGTACACAATGCATCTTTTAATAACTTAAAGACCGATTTAATAATTTTCTCATCATTTTTCGCTTGCCGCTTGATCACATTTCTTAATACAAATTTGAAACGTAGTTTTTGACCAGTCTTGTATGACTTATCCAGTAAACATTTTGCTAAATTTATATGACCTAACCAACATCTTCTTTATAGGTGTGGAATCCTCGGGCAAACAAAGAGAGATTTGCTCCCTCTTCAGTTGAAGTTTTACGAAGCATAGACGAAACTTTGGAAGCATTCTTTTTGTTGCCTATACCGATGCATCCGGTTTTGCTATCTGACTTGATGAGTGGGCTTGATAAATGCCTTCAACATTACATATTGAAGGCAAAATCTGGCTGTGGTAAATATTACATTGTCTGCTAGAAAGAGAAGAAAAAAAATGCAATTGTCAAATGTTTGCTCTCCTTAGTAACTATTGATTCTGTCATGTATTTTGCAGGATCCCCAAATACTTTTGTTCCAACCATGCCAGGTTTGACCAGATGTACAACTGGATCAAAATTCAATGGTGTATTTAAGAAGAAAGAAAAGTACCACATGGCTCAGAGGAGGAAACCTCAGGTTGGGACCATAAATGGGGATAACTCCTTCGGTATACCACAACTATGTGTTCGCATTAATACTCTACAGTACATTCGGAAGGAGTTGGAAGTTCTAGAAAAGAGGACAATCATCCATTTGAGGAAATCTGGGTCAACTCATGTGGATGATGCCGTAAATGGGTCAGGAAAAATGTTTCAGCATTCAGCAGCTGCTTGTGTGGAAGGGATCCAGCAACTCTGTGAGGTGACTGCATACAAGGTCGTATTTCAAGACCTAAGTCCTGTCTTTTGGGATAGTCTGTATGTGGGCGAAGCTTCGTCTTCCAGGATTGAGCCTTTTCTCCAAGAACTTGAGCAAAATTTGGAGATTATATCATCAACAGTGCATGACAGAGTCCGAACACGTGTGATTACTGACATAATGAAAGCTTCATTTAATGGGTTCTTATTGGTTTTGCTTGCGGGAGGCCCTTCTCGTGCTTTTACTCAGCAAGATTCTGTTGTAGTAGAGGAGGATTTCAAGTTTCTCATGGATCTCTTCTGGTCTAATGGTGATGGATTGCCAGCTGACTTGATAGATAAGTTTTCTACTAATGTGAAGCGTGTCCTTCCCCTTTTCCATACTGATACTGAGAGCCTAATTGAGCAATTCAGAGGTGTAACACTAGAAAGCTGTGCCGCCTCTGCTAAATCAAGGCTTCCGTTGCCTCCAACTTCAGGTCAGTGGAGTCCAAGTGAACCAAACACACTCTTGCGAGTTTTATGTTATCGAAATGATAAGATGGCAACAAAGTTCCTAAAGAAAACCTACAACTTACCAAAGAAACTGTAACAGAACTTTGAGTCATCAGTGGATACCATACTGCTTCGGTAGCTCTGGGACATTCTTGTAGTTTTACTGGTATTTGCCACCGTATCCAACATCGGAGTTTCCAATGATATGCTTTAAGGGGGGGCTTTTGGAACTGAGCATGTCTACATTGGAAGCAAAAATGCTTCTATTGTACAGATATTTATGGCTGAATTTGGTTGAAGTCCTTGCCACTTTAGTCATGCAAGAACTTGACGGGCACAGTGGACTTGCTCCTCATCATAGTCATCCAGGAGTTGAGAAGGCTTGTGAAGTTGAATTTCAACAGAAGGCAGTTAACATTGATTATTATTCTTCCACATTAGAGAATATGTCCGTTCTACCACATCTAACTTATTGAGGTTCTTTCGCCCCCATGAAAGTTTCCGGCTTTCTTATACTTCTCTTCCACTGGCTTTCTTATACTTCTCTTCCACTTCAGGTCAGGACAATTTGGGGGATAGATAGAGAGAGATTAAGCTATTAATTACAGAAATTTGGAAGGTATACGCTTGTTTCGTAGTCTGGGAGTGTGTTCTGTAGCTGCTTGTGTATAATAATGTAAAGTTCTTTTATGAGGTTTTTTTGCCAATATTTCACATTGCTTTGTGTGGTGTCTTTTGTTATGTGTGACTTGATTTTTCTTGATCATAATAAGTAGGTAGGGGGCTAAGCCAAAGTTGGTTTTTAGGCCAATGTGAAATTTTTCTTGATCACAGCCGTGTTGTTTTTTCAAAATAATAGGGGCCTAATCTAACATTAGAAATCACCTCTTGCCTTCTGCACAGCTCATTGCACCTGTTGATATAGTCTTCAACCCCCATTAGGGGAGTGCCTTCAAGAATGAATTCTAGGGCAGATTTTTTAATGTTCTCTCCGGATAGCAGAGCAAACCCAGTCGAAGTTCCAAATTATTGATTGAAAAATGATACATTTCCGAATTAATTCGGAGGATGCAACTGTGTGTTATGAGTGGAGGTGCACGTTCCACCATATGACATCATCATAACATCATATGATGGGATTCACATTCTTACTCACATATCTCTTACTTAGCATATTCGAATTCCGAAAATATATTGGGTGCACGGAGTGTGAGTTCGAATCCCCTTTACTTATGATCTTTTACTTTTAGGGTTAGTCTACTTCCTTTATTTTATTTTAAATGTTTACAGCCATGGAAATTTTTACAATCATGAAAAGCCAACTCCGACATTCAATCAAGTTCTCAGTGAAACTAACATCGCTCAATGGAACATAATGAAGCAACTGTTGTGCACTTAAAACTTCCTTCCTTTATGGATACGAGGCCAACCCCATTCACACTGATACGGCCTCTTTCTGGCTGACATCAAACCGTTGGTTATATATGACAAGGTGGTTGACTACTGAGCTACAATAGTTTGTCACAACATGAAAAACTTCTTGAAAATTAAGGTTACTAGCTTCTGTTTTAGTTCTTCATGTAAGAGTGATGTTCCATCTTTAAACAAGGAAAAAAATATTCCAAATTTTTTGGTCAGAAATTTAAAAAAGAACACAAGAATACTCCTATAGTCTCTTGAAAACTATTCTTTTATCTATTGAAATCAGCCTAGAGTATTCCATCCGGGTACAATATTGGGAATATATTCGCGGATGCCACATTTTTATGATCCTTACGAGCCACCGGAAAAACAAGTTCATGGTTCCATATTGTATAAATCAATGGACAGTGGAAGTCTATGCAAGTTTAGCAGGCTGCTTACAATAATTAAATTGTTGGCACCTTTTGAGGATAAAACAAAGCCATCCTCAATTCCAAAGTGAACAAATTCACCACTCTAGAAGGGTTGCAGAAGACCTAATGAGCATGCCGACTAAACATCCTCATTTTGGAGCCAGAATTGCACCATTTTAGAAGCTATACCCTTTTTTCACACACATGCCACAAAAAAAATAAAATAAATAAAATAAAAATAAAAAAAGTAAAAAGTAAAACACACAGATTGAGAGAATGCTCTTTATTAGGGAAAAAATAATTGTCTTGAAAACTTGTAAACAATGGTGAAAGGTAATGCATATGGTTGGAAGTCTGATAACGCAAGCCCTTGATCAGTTTCTAATTTCTTGGCATGCATTTTTCTGCAAACACAACTGAATCAACTTCTACCAAACCTCATGAACCACAATTTCCCCAAAAAAAAATCTGTGTACTCGGTACTGAAAGATAAAATGTAAATGTAACAATCAATTGCTTGGTCACATACATATAGAAGACATTTGAGGAACAGTACTCTGACATAAGTGAAAACTTGCTGTATCAGTGTCCTCTGAACAAGAGTAAAAATCAGGTGCCACAAAACTTCTAGGCAAAAATTTCAGAATCTATTTGCTCAACATTTGGGAAGATTTGCCTCAAATTAGTGTAATAGTTTGGAGCATTTGCCTGCAGGATGTCACAGAAACATAACTTGAAATTAGTGATGTGAGAAAGAAACAAAAAAATAAAAACATTAATTATAGCCAGACACTACAATAAAATGATGCACCCTTTGAAACCGACTCTTCAGCAATTGGAAACATGCTACAACCATTAAGCTGTACCTTCCTTGTCACATTACACACAATAAAACATTGGAAGATAGAAGCATTGGAGTAGAGGCATAATTAAGAAAACAAAGACCAGATAAGACTAATGAAGTTTCATGTTCTACTATTACCCATTATTCAAAAAAAAAAAATTGTGAAAATTTATATCCGAATTGTGAAAAATTGCTAGAAATTATACACCCACTAATTTTTCAATACTAATAAAACAACCAACTCAACACAGTTCTTTTTCCAACTATGTAGGATTGGTCATAGGAATCATAAAGTAAAACAACGTACTTCGATTTGTAAACAAGAAGTGGCATTTCAAAAGTAGATAAACAACAAGTGGCATTTTCAAACCTAGGGGAGAATGAAAATGAGGCTCCAATTCATATAACAGATACTTTGAGTTGTAAAGAAATAATCATACACATGGATTGCGCTCAAGGTAGATGGTGGTGAGCTTCTCTCTTGAACCAGCAACGGCCTCATCAATACCTTCTACTGATGCAATTTGATTGTCATTAAGCCATAGATCTTCTAATCTGCAACAAAGATTCATGATGGAGGTAATACAGGTTAAGAGTATAGGACAAAAAGACAAGGTCCAAGTGATTGGGTATGTCAGATGATTCTTACTGGGTCAGGTTTCCAATGTCAGCAATTTCAGTTAGCTTATTCGATGATACGTCCAAGACCCGCAGATTTACCAAGGTTGATAAGCCTTCCATTTTGGCAATACCATTATGGCTCAAATATAGTTCTTCCAGGGCAACACATGCCTTGAAATTGGGAAAGAAAATCAGAGAAAAGCTTGTTATCCACATTTCCAGTTGAAAGCAGTGAGTAAGAATTAAGAAATACAATTTGTCTAAATACCACGTCACATATGTTTAGCAACAAGATACCTCAAACCCTGTCATGGCAGTTAAACGATTACTCTGCAGGCTAATCTTCTTGATGCATTTGAGCCCACATAAGTTAACAGTACGGATACGATTCCGACCCAGCCATAGCTCTTGCAAATTTGTCAAATTTTGCAAATTCTCCATTACCTGAATTAGCAAAGTAAATACTTCAGCATTGACCATATATTCACCACTCATTGTTTCATTTAATTTTCAAACTCTCCTTTCATATAAAACACTCAAATGGGTGGATTTTTTAATTTTCATAAACATATTTCACGTGCACTGCACCCACACTTGTTATCAATGATTAGGTATTTAAGAACAATTAAATCTAAAACAAGCTGGTACTAATTGGTTGATGGCCAAACTTCAAACAACTATTAATTTTACAAGAGAAATATTCTTTAAGAGATTGAACTCTTACCCGTAATCTGTTTGAGCCAAATTCAAGAATTAGTAGCTCATGAAAGTGGTCAATCTCCTCCATCTTGGTAACTTCATTTTTGGACACATAGAGTTCCTTGAGTGTGTTAGAGACCTTAGACAGTCCATTTGATGATGAAATCTCATTGAAAGAGACATCAAATACCAATAGCCTCTTGAATATGCTAACATCAGGTACTTTCATTAATTTATTATCCCTGAGAACAAGCTCCTGCAAATAACACCATTTGTATTATTTCAGCAATAATTAACACAAATGCTGGGAAAGAAATACTAACACCACACGTATAAGCATACATATGCATATCATACATACATACACAACACATGGACAAATATGCAAACATACGACTATGCAAAATGTGTGTTTGGTTGATAATAAAATGGGTCAAGATAGGAAAGAAATATATAACAATACATTATTTAACTAAAGTTCATTTTAGATAGAGCTGAATGGCAAAACAGTATTCTTGTAGTCTACCCCAAATAATTGGGGCAATGCTTCGTTGAGTTAATTTATGTTAATTGGTCTTGTTTTGGTTTCTGAAGAAGTAAAAAAAAAAAAATGCCTATTTTGATTTTAGATATATGTTTCTACAAGCACCATATTGTAAATTATAATATACAAATTGAAAAATGACCCGTAAAATCTTCTGCGTTCTGCAACCAAACAGACAAGCCAGAGAAGTCAGAGCAACGTTTTGTTTGCTCATTTTAATTTATAAAATTCCTTAATTTTCCAACATTTTCCCCGTAACCAAACATAACAGAAAGAAAATCAGGACCAAATACCTCGAGGCCCGAAAGGGCATCCCAGCAGGAAATGGGGTCGACGCCGGCATCATCGAAGAGGTTCTGGCGAAGCGAGAGCTTTTTGAGGTTCGAGAGGTGGGCGATTCGAGGGTCCAAAGCCGATAAACGATTGGCCGTGAAGTCCAACTCGATCAAACTCGGAGGAAACTCGATTGAGCTAAGATCGTGGAGCTGAAAGCTGGTGATATCGAGAATCGTTGGGGACGATTCATCGTCGACCATCGGATCGTCTGTGGGCTCTTGATTTGGTTCCGATGATGTTTGATTTTGGTCTTCCATTGAATCAGAGCCAGTGAAACCCTAATTGTGAGAAGGAAGGAAGGAAGGCCCAAAGATGGAGAGGGTTTGTTTGCTTGCTCGAGTTTGTGTATACTGTGTGCGTGCATTCGCTGTACGGGGAAACAGTTCGGCTCTGGTGCTGATTGGTATGTCGATGTGGCAAACCAAGACTTTTTCTTTTTCTTTTTCTTTTTTTCTTTTTTCTTTTGTTTTTTTTCCTAAATAATGAAATTTGAAAAAAATAATACTCCTTAATAATGTCGATACAAGAAGTAAAAGGGAAACTTTATATAAAAGTAAAGCTGTAGAGTATAGAAAATAGTAATGAAGTAAAAGTTCATTAACAAAAATAATTAAAAATTTGATTAACTGTAGATTTTGAAAAATAATTTGTGTTTATTTGATTTATAAGGTTTTTAAGATGTTATAGTTTGCTATATGTATTTTTCTTTTTCAAAATTGATTGATTTTCATACTTTAAAAGGTACTGCAGAGTATTAAATTGCAGCTCTTGCCCAATGGATTGAGGAGGAACTGCCTAGTTTTAATTTACGAGGAGTGCTAATTGCATTCGACTGTTATTAGTTACCATTCTTATAATTACACGTTTATTTATGAAATTAAAAATATAAATTTTTAAAACAAAATTACCCTTTAACATTTTCTTATCTCTCTTTTTATTCTCCTCTCTTTAATTTTATCCCTTATATCAATAACATTATATATATATATATATATATATATATATATATATTATTTTCTTTCTTTTTGGACTGCCAAAACAAATAATATTATGGGAATGAAATATTTTATTTCTTTTTTTTAATTGTATTTTAACTATATATATGTGTGCGCGCGCGTGCTATATATGGATTCACGTCCAATTCTTATAATCAAAATTCATTTAAGTTTTTTTTTTTTAATTTTGTTTCTCTCCTCGCTTAATTGATGTACATGTTTATGTATAATATGTAATATGTAAATATATGTGCATCTAAATAACTACCCCTCCATATACGTATAAGTTTTTTATTTCTATTTTTTTTCTCTCCTCACTTAATCACATGTGTGTGTAAACAAATACTTTTATGTCATTATATTTGTATACCCTATAAAAAGTGTAATCAATTTATAATATTTATATACATTTTTAAAACACTTAATTTAATTAACAAAAATATTATTACATGACTTGTGACGTTTCAGTTTATGTTTTTATATTCCTAAACGTTACGTAGTTTATATATTTTAAGTTACTTTCATTCATGAAGAGTTTCTTCCTTATAGGATTTTAACGCTTTTAATTATTTAAAATTTTATTATTTAAAAAAATGACTTTTCTTGTTTTATTAAAACATGTGTCTTAATTAATTCACGTAACTTTTCGTTACTTATTAGTTATATTATCAAAGAGTTGCATCACTCCAAAACAACCTTAAAAAAGTTTCAAATCTAAAAGAGTCTCTTGATTTCCACAATCCCTCTAGCGTGAACCCATAAGAAAAAAATGTTAGAAATTTTCTTCTTCCACAAACAACTTCGAACTTGTGTGCATCAAATCAAATCTCAAAATCTTAACTTTTTGGAAAGGTATGTTTCAGTAGTTGTTGTGAATGCAGTGCCACTTTTATATTATTATTATTATTATTATTATTATTATTACCCTATAAAAAGTGTATTCAATTTATAATATTTATATGCATTTTAAAACACTTAATTTAATTAACAAAAATATTATTACATGATTTGTGACGTTTCAGTTTATGTTTTTATATTCATAAATGTCACACCTATTAAGATACTTACAGACTCCCAGTCTAAAATAAATACGTAGTTTATATATTTTAAGTTGCTTTCATTCATGAAGAGTTTCTTTCTTCTAGGATTTTAACGCTTTTAATTATTTTTAAAAAACAAAAGATACTTAGTAGGATCAAATTTTGTGGCCAGTTAATTGATTAACTGATGAATTATATTCCTTCTCAAAATTTTAGCGATTAAATTGTTACATTTGCGAGATTTGATACACAACATTATTAGATGATTCTTATATTCATAATTTATAAAATCTCTAATGCTCCAAGTTCCTTTCTCATTTTTGTAAATCAATTCCAAAAAATTAGTTTCATCCAAAAGTGGCATTATTTCTCTTTCTACAAATCTATTTTTTAAATTTCCAAAAGAGATGACTCATCACAAAAATAATTGAATTTTAAAAGTCACATTTCTCTATCTACGTAGTCAGTGTTTGAGTAACTTTATTAGTGTTTAGATTGTAATTTTAGTTATTTTTCATATGAAAGATTTATGAGTTAGAGACCTTTTTCAATTTAAACACTTATTTTAACATTGTGTTTACATTTTGGTGTTTATTAAAAGAAAAAGAAATTTTGTTTTTTAACTTTGTTTGATAGTTGATGCATTGAAATTCAATATCATAAAATGTTAATAAATTATAATTTTCATAAACTTCTTACTCTAAAAATTTTAAATGATAGTTGTGACTTAAATTAATGATTAATTTTAGATTTGTTGTAACTACTCACTCATGTGAAACAATGTAAAATGGAATAGTTACATTTAAAATTAAAGCACCTCTTGTACAATATTTCATACTAAAAAAACAAAACAAAACAGCTAGTTAGAAACACTAAAATTAGATCATAATTATAAATTATTATTTAAAAATAATAAATAGCAACATTGACTCTATTTATTCCCCTTGAGAAAGGATTTTTACTCTCTTATGACTATTTATTCTTAGAAAAATCAAATACTCTCTTCCATATTCACCTTTTAAGACATATTTTAATTATTTTGGAACCAAATTATAACTAGTGGTCTTATATGCTTTTATAATTGCAAAAAACTTTTAAAATTGCTAAAAGTATATACATTTATCAAAATACGCGTGTACAAAGTATTTTGGTTTATTCACTGAAAATAAACCAAATTCATTGTTATTTTATTAAACTTCATATGGATATCTGTTTTATTTTTTATTTCTTGTTGGGGAAAAATAATTTGTTTTCATATTGAAGTCATAGGGTGATATTTGATATTTGCAAAACAATAAAAATAATTACAGATAATTTACATTACGTGTAACGCACGTTGATTCATCTCATGTGTGTATATATATATATATATATATATATATCACTTGCTATCAATATATAACACGTATATATATAGTTAAAAGATAATTTAAAAAAAGGAAATAAAATAATCAATTATCGAAATGTTACTCGTTTTGGCAAATTAAAAAAGAAAAAAATTGTGATTATAAGAATTGAACATGAATCCAAATATAGCGCACACATATTATATATATATATATATATATATATATATATATATATATATATATATGTATAGTTAAAATATAATTAAAAAAAGGAAATAAAATAACCCCCCCCCCCCCCCCCCTTTTTTTTTTTTGTCAATCTAAAATGTTATTGATATAAGAGATAAAACTGAGAAGAGGAGAATAAAAGAGGAGAGATAAAAAAGGTTAAAGGGTAATATTGTCTTAAAATTTTATATTTTTAATTTTCATAAGCAAAGACATTTCATAAATGAACGGGTAATTATAGAAATTGTGACCAATAAAAAAGGAGATTATGGAAGAACAATCGAGAGCGTGAATACAATTAGCACTCCTCTTAATTTATTAATATAATTTTGGGCCTATCTTTCGTAAGAAAATGTTATTAGATTTGACAATAACTGTAACGACCCACTCCACCACATGGTATGATATTGTCCGCTTTGGGCCTGAGCCCGCACGGTTTTGCTCTTGGACTTCACCCCAAAAGGCCTCATACTAATTGGAGATGACACACTTACATATAAGCACTTCACATTTCCTCTACCCAAGCGATGTGGGACTTGTGCAACCGTAACTCGCCAGTGTGGAAGCCTGACAGTGTTTTCGCACCCGCCCACGGCACACCCGCTCACAAGGTCATCACAATCCACCCCCCTTGGAGGCCCGACGTCCCCATCGGCACACTTCCGGCTAGGTCAGGCTCTTATACCATTTGTAACGACCTACTCCACCACATGGTATGATATTGTCCGCTTTGGACCGGAGCCTGCACAGTTTTGCTTTTGGACTTCACCCCAAAAGGCCTCACCCCAAAAAGCCTTATACCAATTGGAGATGACACATTTACATATAAGCAATTCACCTTTCCTCTACCCAGGCGATGTGGGACTGTGCATCCGTAACTTGCCAATGTGGTAATCTGTCAGTATCTCTCGTACCCGCCCACGACGCACCCGCCCACAAGGTCATCACAATCCACCCCCCTTAGAAGCCCGATGTCCCCGTCGGCATATGATGAGCACTGAAAAGTGCGCATTTAAACCCGTTAAGCTTAAGCATTCTAGTACCTTTATTTATCTTACTTTGCCGTTTTAAACTTATTACGTGTTATTTATATTTTCAGGCACTAATCCCAAAATTGAGCTAACTCAGCCAAATAAGAGCTTAATTGAAGCAATCCTGAGATAAACCAAAGGAGGGAGCAAAGTGGAGAAAGCAAGGAGCAAAAAGGAATCAAAGTTGTACAGCTGAAAAGTTCGATCGATCCAACTTAGAGTTCGATCGATCGAACATCTATGATCGATCACAGTACTTCTCGATAGATCCAACCTTGACCTTTGCTGAAATTCCAAGTTCGATCGATCCAACATCACCTTCGATCGATCGAACCTTATTTTGTCATATTCAAATGATTGATCTTATCCACAGCTGTACGCCTACCAACCACTTTTGTCCTTTTCCCCATAAATATCTTCGAAATATCTCAGCCTTATTCTTATCCGGAGGAGTCAGACCACTTCGATCGATCCAAGATGCAGTTCGATCGATCGAACCCATCTTCGATCGATCCAAGTTAAGGTTCGATCGATCGAACTTCCTCCAGTGAGAAAAAGTTAAAGTCCAGCTCATTTATTCCGTCCTTCACCCAATCATTGGAGAATATGCCTTGCACGACCACAGCTCATCATAGGGTGTATTTGACTTACCTATATAAGGAATATGATACACTTTTTGGAAAGGAGTCTAGAGTCGCTTGTCACACATTGAAAATCACCTTGGAGGCTATTCTTGGAGAGGAGGAAGGAGGGAAGCTAGAACAC